CTTCTTAGAACAGCCTGTACTGAGTACTGATACTCAGATGTCTGCCAGAAGCAGAAAACTGTTTAAGACATGTTTAAATTGGGAACAGAAGTTAATTTTGAGTCCTAGCAAAAACTACAGCTTCTGTCCAGAGAGCCAGGTATGGATTAGACAGAGGTACCTTTGGCCTGATGAAAAGCCCTTTAAGTTTATACTTAGATGACAACAAAAATAAACCTAAAAACCTTGAGCTTGTGCCTGTCAATAGATAGTCATTACTTTATCAGCTAACATGCTGACTATAGTCTATAGTGGATCTGACTGCCTGATGCTGCCAAGCTGACAATCATTAATATTTCAGAGATATTATATTATATGAGAAGGGTATATTTTATAGAGTTTCCGAATCAATTAAAAAGCAACAGAAGCCAGTTAGAAGCCAGTCCATATACAGTTAGCCATTCCCAAGTCTCTCCATTAGCGCTGGAGGCAGAAGTATCAAAGAACAGCAATCTTCGCCAGGCCTATAAGGTGAGAGTTTTTTTCTCTCTGTGGAAGAGGGACATGGAAAAGACTGACCTTGTTTTGTCTAGGCAAAGCAGGTGCAATCAATTTTCCAGTGTCCAGCCTTGTCCACAGTCTTGGCCAGGTCCTGGCAGGCAACTGGTATCACATCTGAGCATCTCACTCACTGGTCAGCATCATCATTAACCAGGTGTAGGAACTGGGGTGCCTCATAATCTTCTTTGGAGCCTTTGGGTAACTGTCAGGATCTGGCAGTCTGTCTGATATTATAAACTTTTAAAACAATGTTTTAAATGCCATATTCTGCAGGTCTCTGAAGCATTAGAGGTCTGTTTTAGTTACTTGCCTTAAGCACACATTAAGCACGCAGGTGGCTAGGTAAGGTCATATTTCTGTAATTAATTAATTTTCAGTCTGACTGTAACTGGTTTTAACTTAGTAAAATATTTGAAACTTAGCACAGTTGAATTTAAAATTGTATAGAGTTACCTTATATTCCTTAAACAGTAGCTGCATGTACACATTTTAGCTGCTTGCTTAAAGTTAACTTCTTTTTGAGACAGGGTTTCTCTGTGGCTTTGGAGCCTGTCCTGTAACTTGCTCTGTCGACCATAAAGCCTGGCCTTGAACTCACAAAGATCTGCCTGCCTCTGCCTCCCAAGTGCTAGGATTAAAGGCGTGTGCTACCAATGCCCTAAACGCACACTCACGTACCCCTAGACACTTCCCTTACGCTGCCCTACAAGATCTTTCTGCAGCCGGTTCGAGCTGTCTTTTGTCACTAACCGCCATGGTGGGTGACAAAAGACCCGAGCTAACATGGGGTTAGCTCGTTAAATTACAATAAAGCCTCATGCAGTTTGCAAAAAAAAAAAAGAAAAAGAAAAAGAAAAAAAAATTTAAATCCCTTAATGTCTTTCTGTAATATATAGAAGCATTAACATTTTAAATCTTAACTGAAAAACTTGTTTCTAAGATGGTACCTCTAATTTCCATGTGGTCACCTTTAGTCAAGATGGCAGTTTAAGTATCTTTTTTCAACTTCAGCAAAAGGGCTACCAGTCAGCCATGTGACCAGCTTGCCATGTGGCTGGCTACAAAATGGGGGTAAACTGCACCATTTGTTTTACCTGTATGCTTGTAACAGAACTTAGGTTATGCCAGGAAACAGAACATTTTAAAACAAGCATGCATAATTTACTTGAGAAATAAACAGAACTTTTTAAACAGAATTAGCTTAATATGGTTAAAATTTTAACTTATATTACCAATTTTTAAAATTTACTATTTGTAGACATGAGAAACCATAGCAAACAGTTTGCATTTTTCTCTGACTTTTAACAACCTTTTTTCTGACCTTTGACAACTTTCCTCTGACCTTCTACAATTTTCTTTGACCCTCTATAACTTTCTATATACCTTTAGTTTATTTCTCTGATTTCCTTAGACATTCTTAGACAAATTTCTCTTTCCCTTTCTTTCTTTATTACTTCAGTCTTCTACATTTTCTCTCATTTTTCAGTCAACATAACAACTCTTATCAAAGTCCTTTTTATGGTTTTTAATAACTTTAAGGCCATTTCTTTAGAACGTCTGGAACAGGCCAGATGGTTCACCCGCCCCAGCTCCATGTGCTCAGGGCAGAGACCTGGGGGGCAGTGGGTGCTGCTGGTAATCCCAGACCCTCTCCCAACTCAAGGGTGGGAAAAAGACCCCCACGGCTTTCCTGCATACTATGTGTGTGGATCACAGAGAAGGCCAGGCAGCCAGGCAAATGGTGGCCTTGCAAGCCATGTGCTCAGGGTAGGGAAATTCCTGCCATAAGCCAGGACCCACAGCAGGATGGCAGTTGGAGCAGAGAGAGCCCCACTTCGCATGCCTCACAGACCGGCAGTGAGGATGGAAAGACAGACTTACCTGCACCGGCCAGGCTCAGCTGTGAGGGCCACAGCAGTGGTTGGAGTTCAGAGCAGTAGCCTCAGGGGACTGTGCCGCAGGACACTCCAACCCATGGCACATGGCAGAGGAACTCCTATCCCGCACGCCACATGCTCAGGGCAAGAAAAGACCCCTGACCCACGAATGCCACGTGGGTGGGCAGTAAGGACAGAGAGAGACGCTTAACAAACACACAGAACAATTGTGAAACTTCGACAGACAGCACAGTTTACAAAATTAACAGAAACAGCAGACCAGAAAACACAAAACTGACACAGCAACAAAAAGCATGCAGGCAGGGTGTGGATTGCAACAGATCAGATAACACAGATAACAAACCTTCTCAACTGCTCAGTCATACAGCCTGTTCCAACCCTCCAGGCTTTACAGAAATCATACAGAAACAAAGACATAAAAAAAGAAAGTTACCTAGTGTAGCGCCACATGACTCAATGAAAGGGGGGTGTCGTGGTGGATCCTGAATTGAAAACACACAGGTACAGAATAGACAGAAAAGAACAGATGCCAACCCAATCTGTCCACGCCGCTTATAAGGCAATGGCGCCGGGCAGACGGGCGGCAGAACCAGGCGGCTACAATCGCTGCTAACTGAGGAGGGTCCAAGCGTCCTTGGCCTCAGTACCTCCTGGGTGTCCTCAGGGCAGCAGTCTGTGATCCTCTTGGCACATCTGCCCATCACAGTTGAGGTGGAATCCGGGGATGGGGGTGGTTAGTTGTTGACCCATGGGGTGAACAGAAAGGGACACAAACAGTAAAAACAGAAGGACAGACACAACAAACAGGACAAACTGCGCAGCAAACTAGAATGGTGCCCAAACCAAAATTACAAACAACTCTTGGACTTTTTTCCAGGGTGGGACCAAGGGGCCCAGGGCATGTCTGCCTCTGGGGTACGTCTGCTTTCCCTATGGTCCAAATCAAACAACCCTCGGACCTTCACCCAGGGCAGGACCCAGGGTCTCAGGACACGTCTGTCTCCCTCTGTGGTCCAAATTACCAAATACAAGTCCTGTGCAGGCACAAATTCAAATCTTAGTCAAAACAGCAAGAGACATAACAAGACACATTATCAAACATGGACATAACACTGAACATATAAATTGCGAGCTCAATCGATCTTACCTCCAAGATCTACTCCATTCAAGTGAGGAGTGGTCGAAAATCCAGGACAAGCCCCCAAATGAAAGACCCCTGAAAGGCTCATGCCCCTAGGATCTCAGTCCAGGAACGAGGCCACCCCAATCATCATGCAGAGGCAGAAACTTGAGGCAAACAGCATAAGGCTTTATTGTAGTTGTTTAACGAGCTAACCCCATGTTAGCTTCGGTCTTTCACCCACCCGCCAGGATGGATGGTTAGGAAAAGACGATGCAAAGCGTCTGCATAGAGATCTTGTAGGGCAGCGTAAGGGGAGTGTCTAGGGGTACACATAGGCTCAGGATTGCTGTGCCTCCAGGCTTGGAGGGTTTGCCCTGTGTTGATTGGTCCACTGGTTGTTATGGCCCATAGGCCCTCCCAGGGTGGTTGCTATGCTCTGCACGTCATTGCTGTCCATAAAGCACACCCAGAGCCCTAAAGCATAGCACCACCAGCTAACTTCTGATTGGTTCCTTGCCATGAGGCAGGCATCTGACTTCCTAGTGAACAAGGCAAGTTCAGACAAGCACATGTTGAAAGACCCCTGCCCCTTAGCCCTTTCTTTCTCAAGTTTGTCTCCTCTTCCTCCTGTCGGCGGCTTCCCCAATCCGCACCCCCGGCGGCCTTCCCCTGCCACCCGCCGCACGCCCCGCCCGAGAACAAGCACCAGGTGGGCCGGCCCGCGAACAAGCACCGG